GCTGGAATTTTCCCACCCAAAGGAAAGATGTGCAAAGTATACCACACATCCATGCAAAGATGGAAAAGAAAGCTAAAACTGGATTCTATTATTTATCTGTTATGGAGCATATGTGGAACACCTGGTCAGTTCTTTTTTTCCCCTGTTTGGGTAGATAATATAAATCAGGCCAATAAAGAAAGCTTACTAAAAACAGTTTTATTGTTCTAATTAAAATGTAGTAGTTATAAAATTTTATCTTACTTAATTTTTACTAAATTAAATGTTATATATTCATCCAGAAGGAAGGTTAGGAGGAGAATTGTATCCAAAAATGGCTATGGTTTTGACAAGAAGTACTTGTTAAGGCACTACATAAATCTCTTTGGTTAAATGATTAACTATTTAAATCACTTGAAAAAAAAAAAAGAGGTAATACAAAACCACACAAATTTCATTCTTTACAACACACACCATTTTTCATTCCAATTTCCATTACTCCAGTGTCTACTATCTCTGGGGTCCTTTTTAACTCATCAGAAAGCTGAAATAAAAACATTAAACAATATGTTAGTCTTTGAAAAAAAAAAAGGCTTTACTTTTTTTTTTTTTTTTTTGAGAAACAGAGTGTGTGCACATGCAAGTGGGGGAAGAACGGAGGAAGAGGGAGAGAGAGAATCCTAAGCAGGCTCCATGCCCAATGTGGAGCCTGATGTGGGGCTCAAACTCATGACAGTGAGATCATGACCTGAGCCAAAATCAAGAGCGGGATCTTAACTGACTGAGCCACCCAGGCACCCCACAATAGGCTTTAATTCTAACAAATACTGTATCTTGATTTTAACAGACAAAAGAGCATTTGGGTGTATGCATAATAAACTTTGAGTATTAATACCAAAAGTGAGAAACACCGAGATACTGAGATGTTCTTAGGCGAGAAGGAAATAGACATAAACTTAAGTTAAAATATGTCATGAAGAGAAATACTGATTAATAACTGAATCAACCATGGTGATGAAATAAAGCAATAGAAATCCCAGCGAGATTGCCCTTGTACTCCATTCAGTATTCTACAGAGGAGAAATTATTTTAAAATATATATACACAGAAGAATAAAAGTATAAAGGTAGAAGATTATAAATCAAAAATCAAAGTTCGGGTAGGTTTTGTTCTTAAAATTAAGTTTGCCAGCATAAATATCCATCAACTGATGAATGGATAAGAAGATGTGGTATATATATATACAATGGAATATTTCTCAGCAGCCATAAAAAAGAACAAAATCTTGTCATCTGCAAAGACATGGATGGAGCTAGACAGTATTATGCTAAGTGAAATAAGTCAGTCAGAGAAAGACAAATACCATATGATTTTACTCATATGTGGAATTTAAGAAATAAAACAAACAATGGGGTGCCTGGATGGCTCAGTCAGTTAAGTGTCTGACTTTTCATCTTGGCTCAGGTCATGGTCTCACGGTTGTTGAGACTGAGCCCCACATTGGGCTCCATGCTGACAGTATGAAGCCTGCTTGGGATTCTCTCTCTCCCTCTCTCTGTGTCCCTCCCCTGTGTGTGCTCTTTCTCTCTCTCTCAAAATAAATAAATAAATACTAAAATAGAAAGAAAACAAATGAGCAAAGGGGAGGGAGAAAGAGGGAATCAAACCAAGAAAGAGACTCTTAACTATAGAGAACTGATGGTTACCAGAATGGAGGTGGGGGGAGAATGGGTTATATAGGTGATGGGGATTAAGGCGTATATTTCTTGTAAGGAGCACCAAGTATTATATGGAAGTGCTGAATTACTAAATTGTACACCTGAAACTAATATTACACTGTATGTTAACTAACTGGAATTTTACTCACCATCAAAAAGAATTAAATCTTACTACTTGCAACCACATGGATGGAACTAGTGTATTTTGCTAAGCAAAATAAGTCAGTCACAGAAAGACAAATACCATATAATTTCACTAATATGTGGAATTTAAGAAACAGAACAGATGAACATAGGGAAAGGGGGAAAAAAGAGAGGGAAGCAAGCCATGAGACTCCTAAGTCTAGAGAACAAACTGAGGGCTGATGGAAGGGGAGGTAGTCGGGGGATGGGCTAAATGGGTGATGGGTATTGAAGAGGGCACTTGTGATGAGCACTGGGTGTTATACGTAAGTGATGAATCACTAAATTCTATTCCTGACACCAGTATTACACTATATGAGAACTAACTAAAATTTAAATAAAAATCTGAAAAAGAAATTAAAAAAGAAATAAAATTAAGTAAGTTTGCAAGAAAAAATTCAAAAAAAGATTGATTTATGTTGTTCATTGATCAAAAGAATCTAGGACTGTCACAATATAATCAATCAACCAAGGAGTTGTTCAAAATTACCTACTGCATACATGTGTTAAAAGTAATGTGAAAAATGAATTTGTCTCTCAAAAACATCACTTGATATACTTTATTTTTAGTGTTCATAGTCCTTTATACAACAGGACAATGTTGTATTAAAAGAACAGGAATTATGGCAACTGATACTCAGATTATAAAACTAACTCAAAACATTCCCCATTATGTAGGTACACATCTCATGGCTACTAACAGAATAAAATCGAGAATTTACAACCAGGACAGTAATTTCTTCCCTGAGCCTTAGAGATCTCTATGAACATTTCAAGCCAATTAGATCTTCTTAAACACTCTTTCTTTTTTTGTTGTTGTTTTATAGTTTATTTATTTTGAGAGAGAGAGAGAGTGTGAGCAGGAGAAGGGCAGAGAGAGCCAGGCAGGCCCCATGCTGACAGTTCCCCAAACACTCTTTCTTATACTCTCCATAAACTGGATTCTAGGGTACCTTGATGGCTCAGTTGGTTAAGCGTCCGACTTTTTTTTTTTTTTTTTGCGTTGTTGTTTTTTGAAGGAGAGAAGAGAGCCAAAGTAGCATGAGCAGGGGAAGGGCAGAGAGAGAGGGAGACACAGAATGTGAAGCAGGCTCCAGTCTCTGAGCTGTCAGCACAGAGCCTGATGCAGGGCTTGAACTCACAAATCATGAGAGCTGAAGTCGGATACTTAGCCGACTGAGCCACCCAGGTGCCCCAAAGCATCCGGCTCTTGATTTTGGCTCAGGTCATGATTTCAGTGTTCATGGGGTTGAGCCCCCATGCTGTTAGCACAGAGCCTGTTTTGGATTCTCTCTCTCCTTCTCTTTCTGCCCCTTGTCCCTGCTCATGTGCTCTTTCTTTCTCAAAATAAATAAAAACCTTAAAAAATCAAAATAATAAAAAAATAAACTGGATTCTAATGAAATGTTCTGTTTATGCCATCTAAAGAACCTTGAAAAGTAGAGGTGAGAAGTTTTAAAATAACATTAAAAGATAATTTGCTCCAGGGTGCCTAGGTGGCTCAGTTGGTTGAGCGTCCGACTCTTGATTTTGGCTCAGATCATGATCTTGCATTTCGTGGCATCGAGCCCCATGCTGGGCTCTGTGCTGACAGCATGGAGCCTGATTCGGATTCTCTCTCTCCCTCTCTCTCTGCCCCTCCTCTGCTCCCTCTCTCTCTCAAAATAAAAAAAAATAATAAATAATAAATAAAATAATAATTTGCTCCTCAAGAGTAAGTAGAGTATGTGGACAAGGCATAAAATAATCTAATCATTAAGTGTTTTTAGATTTTTAGATTAAATTAGGTGATGTCAGAACAACCCTCAAAGATATTCCTGAGAAGAGAAATCACATACTATTGTCCATTATATCATAATTTTCTTAAGTTAATTTTTATATGCAACATATCTAAGTTAATGCCTATCTCTGCTTTAGAAGCTAGACTAGTTTGGAGGTAAAGAAAAACAAATATTATAAAGCAACATTGACTCTAATCATTGTTAAGTATAGGTAATCACTATGTAAATATAAAATAATCATACCTATATGGATATCCATGATATTTAGATCTGAAAATAGACAGCATCCAACTGAAGAATAATACAACAAGTACAATACCAGCCACACACATTACTGGAGAAAAACAAAAGGAGAGTAAAATGAGCATGTTAAGCAAAATAAAAAACTGGGGCACAAATTTTAGTCTACAAGAGTGAAAAGGAAGGGATATAATTTACTGGTAAATTGCGATTTTCCAAAAATTTTCATACCTATTCTTTATTTAAAATTTTTTCTAAAGTTTACTTATTTACTTTTGCGAGGGGAAAGGGGCAGAGAGAGAGGGAGAGATAGAATCCCAAGCAGGCTCTGTGCTGTCAGTGCAGACCCCGATGTGGGGCTTGAACTCACAGTCTGTGAGATCATGACCTTAGTCGAAATCAAGAGTTGGACACCCAACCGAGTGAGCCACCCAGGCACCTCCATACCTATTCTTTATCTTCAGGATTCTGCCTTCCCACTTAATTTGAACCATTACAATATAATAGAGTAGTTCCACTTATACACTTGTGCAATTTAATTGTATATAATAATATATTCCTTTAAAATTATCACAGTCAAGAAATTAGTGTTAGAAAGTTCTACTGACAAGGAAATCACTCACTAAATTCCTTCTAAACCCTTAAAAGTGGCCTTATTGTATTGATAAATATTGATTTAAAGACATTCAATAACATCATTGTGACACCCTCACTTGAAAGTACTTTATTCATTTATAGGTAACTACACTGCCTAAATAAGGTACTCATTCAATATGGATGCCTCATTTGAATGAGGGGGAAAATACTGAATCCTAGCTCTAAATTCATAGCTCTCTACATTCATTTCATATGCTCTGATTTGGCATAGCAGTTAACGACCTTAACTCTGGATGCTGACCCCACAATGCTCAAGTATGATTCCCATAACTTGCGGCTCTTTGAGTCCTGCGAATAACACTGGCTAAAAAGCACAGAGGTGGGGATGTGGGAAAGCATGTGTGCTACAGCAGTAGAAGTTCTAGGGAAACATACTTATTGGCCAACACAAACAACAGCTTTTAGTTATCTTATACTTAGGGAACAGTTTTTTTTTCCTTTTTTAAGTTATCACATAATATGATTAGGGACTAAAATGTAAATATTAAAGGGGCACCTGGGTGGCTCAGTCAGTTAAGCATCCGACTTCAGCTCAGGTCATGATCTTGCAGTCTGTGAGTTCAAGCCCCACGTCAGGCTCTGTGCTGACAGCTCAGAGCCTGGAGCCTGCTTCGGATTCTGTGTCTCCCTCTCTCTCTGCCCCTCCCTCACTTGCACTCTCTGTCTCTCAAAAATAAATAAACATTAAAAAAAATTTTTTTTAATGTAAATGTTAAATATATTTTTTCTGAGTATTAACACATGATCATTGTAGAAGTCTTTTTTATCCAATTAAACACACATATACATGTATATCTAGATCAATCTATATATAAAATCAGTCTGTGTATGTTTGTATTCTACTTTTTTCATGTAACATATCTAAAAGTGTCTAAGACAGTTTCTGGTATAAAACAAATGTTAAATAAGTGTTTATGGTTATCATTTGTATTATTTTATTAGGTTAGAACCTTAGAAGTAGATCAAATTGTGATTATTTTAATATACATCACCAAAATACTTTATAATTTAAATTCATGCCACCAGTGTAGTACCCAGAGGGCCTATTCCCAATAATGGATACTGAGAAAGGCAAGTTTTTAAGTCAGGCAATTAAAGGATGTATACTAACTAGATAAAAAATTGATACATTTGTTCTGCTTTTGCAATATGTGAAGATTCATTTCAATTCAGAAAAATAAGAATCTTCTAAATCTGAAATCCAATGTCATCATCTTTTTTCTAGAATAAAAAGTAGACTTTATTTAGTGAGTTTAATTTGATAACATTTAACTTTGTAGTCATAAAAGTAAAACTCTGATTTAAAGTTATTTTATGTAAGTAAAATAAAACTACATTGCTAGCATTTCTTTGCAACAAGTACCCATGTGTGAATATTTTAATATATAAAAAGTTCACCCAAACCAATATAAAAAGTTCTAAGACTCTAATAGATTAAATAGCAAAAGTCAAAAAGGCTTTTTACATAAGGGAAAACACAAACAGCTAATAAACATTTAGAAAAATATTCAACTTTACTAATAACCAAAGAAGTACAAAATAATATAAAGTTTCCCCCTCATCTGATTAGCAAACACACACACACACACACACACACACACACACACACACACACACACACAAAACCACACACACAGATTTTTAATGAGCTTAGCTTAGCTAATGTTGACAAAGTTACTGTGAAACAAGCATTATTATTATTATTATTTTTTTTTGGAAACAAGCATTTTTAAATGCCACTAGTAGGAATCTAAACTATCAGAACATCTGGGGAAAGAGTTTGGCATCATCAGTTTAAAACATCGATGGGGCGCCTGGGTGGCGCAGTCGGTTAAGCGTCCGACT